TCTCTAATTTTGGTGAATATTTTTGGTAAAAAGTGATATTTTCGACTTCTTGTTAAAAACCGCAAGTCCAATTGCTTTGATATTACATGTATAGGTACTACATGTGGACCTTTTCTCTGATTTGTTCATTTTGTAATGATATCTTTAATTCTCTAATTTTGGTGAATATTTTTGTCATTTTTGGTAAAAAGTGATATTTTCGACTTCTTGTTAAAAACCGCAAGTCCAATTGCTTTGATATTACATGTATAGGTACTGCATGTGGACCTCTCTCTGATTTGTTCATTTTGTAATGATATCTTCAATTCTCTAATTTTGGTGAATATTTTTGGTAAAAGGTGATATTTTCGACTTCTTGTTAAAAACCGCAAGTCCAATTGCTTTGATATTACATGTATAGGTACTACATGTGGACCTCTCTCTGATTTGTTCATTTTGTAATGATATCTTCAATTCTCTAATTTTGGTGAATATTTTTGTCATTTTTGGTAAAAGGTGATATTTTCGACTTCTTGTTAAAAACCGCAAGTCCAATTGCTTTGATATTACATGTATAGGTACTACATGTGGACCTCTCTCTGATTTGTTCATTTTGTAATATCTACAGTAATTTTGGTGAATATTTTTGTCATTTTTGGTAAAAAGTGATATTTTCTTGTTAAAAACCACAATCATTTATGGTGAAAAATGATATGTTTGAATTTTTGTTGAAAACAGCAAGTCCCATTGCATTGATACTATTCATATTGTTCATTTTCTAATGATATCTTGTGTTCTATAATTGAAATGAGCATTGCAAATAGCGGAGCTATTTCAGCCGAGAGGCTGCTTGTTTTTTTATTTCATAACTTTCTGGTAATAAAGATCTTTTCCTAAACCAACTTTTGTGGTCCGTATATTATTTTAGGTAAATAAGTATTCAACCACAGTCCCTCCATCATCTAGAGGGACTGTGATTCAACATAATAGATGGGGGGATGAAAATCACATTTTTTTTGTCACAAGTATTACATAATTATTGATTTTGACGCGTGTCTCAGACTTTTCTACTTTGGAGTACCACCTAGCCTAAAATAGTTAAATAAATTTCAAAATATGGTAACCTTCCAGAAGGACACTTTGATCCAAATTGTATCAAAAGTAAAGCGCGTTCAAAATGGTGGGTCAAAGTTCAACATTTTCAAATTTTTCACATGTGCAATGAGGTAAGTTTCACCACTGGTGGCGCACTTCAGACTTCATAGACTCTGTGACTCTTATTTAATCTTTAACACGAGTAAATTATCATGCAGCTATAAGCTGTGCTATATAGGGTGGAGTTGTTGTTGCTCTAACTTGAAAACTGATAATGCTTTTTGGGGGGATCCTGGAATTCAGAACAGTCAAAATCATACCAGAAAAATGCCTGCAGTAGGCATGTGGAATAAATCCACAATGATCACATTTACAGGTGCGTCTTATAAAATCCATATTCACTTCAATAATACTGAGATTTGACACCTGCTCGTTTTATAATTGCTATTTATTTGTTCTGTCTCTTTACAATATTTCTTTATTGGAAGACTAAACATATTAACTAATAATATTTACAGAAATGATTATCACAAAGTTAGCAGTAGGCACTTGGAAGAGGGTGGCAAAATATGGCATGTTTAGTTGATCAATGTAAGACTGACAAAACATAAATGAATTGTCACAACTACATGTGCCAGGCATTCAATTTATACAAGTTTTGTTTGTTACATGCATTAATAAATATTAACTCATTGCAAAATTAGGTATAAAATGGTATATTATTATAATTGAAGACAATGAGTTTTGCCCATCTAACAATTCAATGTTAATACACCATTCAAACCATTAAATGTTTCGAATATTCAATATGTAAGTTTGAAGTCTAACAAAATGTCACACTTGTCAGGTACTCGTACATTGATACCAATGGATGAACTAGAAACCTGAGAACTGGCAGAATATAGATATGCAAATGATTTTAGCCAATTATGCTCTTTTCAATATTTTTTGACAAGTTTACAGTGGAATTTATGCTAACAATATGTACACATTATAAGTATAATTTAATTTACAACAAATTTGATGGGGCTTTTCATATTTATATGCATCTCTTTGAATGAGGATTTGCCAACATTCCGTGCTTTAGAAATGCTTTTGAAAATATTAAAAGTTGATAGAGAACACCAGATGTACTTAATACAAAAAAATACATTATTGGAGTACATGTACATGTAACTCAACAAATAGTTTTATATCTTAATACGATATAATGTTCACCCCTGGATACATGTAAAAAAAAAATTACCATTCAAGTTTTTGAAATAAACTTTAAAATGTAATAGACAAATGCACTAAAATGTCACATGCAACTCAATTAGTAATATTAATATAAAATTTGTGCTTTAGTAAAATCTAATAAACCTATTCATTTATAAATATATACTGTATACAAATTTAACAACAATTACAAAATACATTTATTTATCTCTATCATTCCATTATGATTGTCAAAAACTATGAAAATAAAATTAAGTACGCTGAAACAAATATTGATCAGCTACAAAAACTATACTAGAAAAATATACTAAAAACAACTATTTTTTTTTAGCTGTACGTGGTGTACATGTTAGGTATAAAACTCAGATGCAGATTTTCACTGTAATAATGCTGAGTTTTCTATTTCCTTTTGTGGCAACACAGGACAATAGAAGTTGTAAATGAGGACTTTAAAAAATTGAGTACATACCAAATTTGAAGTTTTATACAGTTTTATGTACACATAACAGCGTATACAAATTTTCAGAATATTATATATTTCAGAAATGAAAAATTCTTTTGATGATTAAGGTGGTTTAAGCTCAATTGAAGATTATATGTCATGTTATTCATTATTTTCTTTTCATACCTCCATTATTATGAGTTCATAACATAAGAATACCAAAAAAATTTGTTTTTAAATTGAGGTCACCGGATTATTTTTTTTTAGATACAAGTGACATTTTTACACTTTCACATTTTTAGTGAGATTATTTCTTCATATCTCGAAATTTTGCACTGTGACATGGGATGAAAAAGTATTATATTATAATTGATATGAAATCTAACATTGTTGAAATCATTTCAAACAAATTATATTTAATGAATGAGTTTTTATTGCGATAATGAACTTCTCATTAGTGTGTATACAGTGAAAGATTATCTCCCATAATGCATTGCATATATGTGCAGTAACATGCTCACCAGTGAAAAATTTGAATTTGGCTTGAATTGCCTTTAATTGGTTAAAAATTTGTTTCAGAACAGTTATTGCTGTTTGCTATCTTTTTATGGGTGACTACCCCTAGGCAGCAGTCATTCAGTCAGTTGCTAGTTTGCAACATCAGCTAACTTCACTGAATGGTTAAGTTGTGTGTGATTACAAACAATAAATATAACATGCATACGAGTACTGCCAGTGTTTTGAAATCACATTCAGTGAAGCGGCTGCATAGCAGGGTTTCGTGGCTATAATATAAACTCAGCGGGGTTTATATTTTGTGAGTGAAGTTTACGTCTAACACCAGGAATATGGAATCTTAATTATAATGATTAGTAACTGAATATCATCTGGTTTTAAAACTTCTCTTGAAGTGTTTAAGCAAATACATTGTTATTTAAAGCATTCACCATGAATGTTTTCAGCTGTCAAAGTGAGGTAATACCAACATAGTTTGGTAATAATGTCATGTCAGGACAAACGTCTGTAGTGACACAGGGAATACTTGGATACAGACCAAATTGCAGATTCACAAAGGTTTTTAAGTCAGTCAAATTAACATTATCATCACAAGAGATTGCTGGAGAGATAGATGGGCTTATTAGAATACTGTATTCGGAGTCTGTTCCATGGACAGTTGTATTAGCAGAGAATTAATATAACAAGATAACAAAAACAACGGACGGCACCAACTTTTCACAGTTTGCAAGACGATGAGTAACAATATTACACAATATTATCTCCGAATAACAACACCATCAAATGTAGCTACAAAAACCATGATCTATCCTAGGAATTCATATAAAACCAAAATAGCAGGTTTATTTTGAAATCAGTATATTATAAAAATATTAATTTCTTTTGTATTTTCTCATATGCCCACTCCCTTACGGTTAAAAGGCTGAAGAAAGCAGGTAGGTTAAGACCACTTAGGCTAATCTCAATAAAGTACCTTTCAGGATAAAGACTTTAATATTTTGATAAATAATATTTTCACTATTCTTGATAATGAAGGCACTATATGTATTCTAAATACTATAAACTATCATATTTTTGCTACTACAAATTTTTTTGATTTTCCCAGGCTCACAAATATGTATTTCTTGTGAAATTTAAATGGTTTACAACAGTATGACTTTTTGAATGTGATATATAATAATAATATATATACATAGTCAGCACATTTATACAAATCCCATTAATACTAAAGAAAGTAAAGATTAAGTAGTCATTCAACTGCTTTCACACCAACACAACCATTTTTTTAATGCTTCTTATCTCCTTATGCATCTGCTCTGCCAGCATTTTGCGTTTGCTATCGAGAATATTCTTTGTGGTGCTTATACTGTCATGGGCATTTTGAAATCCTCGTCGGTTTTCAATCCTCATTTTTTCCATTTCTTCTAGCAGTCTCTTGTCAAAATGTTCCTGCCGTTGGTCTAATTTCACTTCCCAGTACCTTCTAAGTTCAGAGTCATTTCGTTTTGCAGTTTCACGATCCTGGCTCATTGCATTTTCAAGTACCTCTATACGCTTCTCAAGTCTCTGAAATCGTGCATCCATCCTGTCTTCAAACTTGTCCTGGAATGACAATATTACAATTTCATGAATGAAACGAATTAGCTTAAACGAATTACTTTGTCTTTTTCACACATGATACCTATAACTAGAGATGGTTCCTTAATTACTACCTACTTTACATATTACCACAGTGCAGTGCAGTCATTATTATAACAAGGCCCGCAACTATGCACTGCAAACAATACCTTCCAGTAGCAGAGAGCATTTACATTGCTTAAAATTACAGGTGTATAATTCAGAGTTGTTCATTGTGAATGGCTTTGAATTCCGGCAGGTCTAAAATCTGATCAAATATAGAATTCAGGCAACTGTAAAAAAACAACAATGTTAAAAGCAGTACAAACCATTTAATTTGAAATGATTCATTTATTAGAATTTAGTTTATGTGAAAGAGTTCTCATGGAAGGTCATGGAAGTTATCTGTTCTATTCTCACTTATGTGGTTACTACGGTAGCATGCAGATGACACAACAACATACAGTGAACCGATTTAAATTCGCGAGAGATAAATTTTTGTCAGTGAACATTTTAAGATTTTGTACCAGTGACAAATTCACTGGGGTCCTAAAGACATGAAGACACAGCGCTTTTTCTCATGAGCTAAATCATTAAATCTAGAAAATTAAATGGTTTATAGTGTTGTAATGTGCCAGTGTGTTGTACTGATAAAAAGTTGTCGTAATGTTTACCTGTTTTGCATCTCTCATCGTTTGCAAAACCTCCAACTGCTGTACAAACTGTCTTGCCAGTCGATCTCTTTCAGTGTCATTGTATTTTTTAGTGGCTTCTAGCGTGGATTTTATCTCCTGCAAATGACCCATTGTTTTACTATCCAGTCTTTTGACAGCCGTGCTTGACTCGCCTTCTACCGATGTTATCTTAGTAATGTGCTGTACTGAAGTGTTATCAATTCTGTTATCCATCGAAGTGATCTGAAACATGCATGAAAGTTTTTCATTCATTACTTAGTTAAAGAAGTTCACTCCATGATATATTGCATGCAATTCTTTTTATTCCTTGTGCATTGAAACTTTTAGTATCCTTGTCTGATTGGTGAAAAAAACATGAATTACATAATTTTTTAGTAAATTTTAATAAATTTTCCAAACAGGTTATCAATGCACATTGCCACTTTGATATGAAGACTGCATTGTTATTGGCTGAATATTCGGGACCAGAGCATTGATTGTTTTTGTTTGAATTGTTAGCTTACAAATTGGCTTGTTATTATTTATTAATATTCACAAAATAAGAGAAAATAGAATACAGGGACGTGCTGGTGCCATATTTTCTTTTATTCTCAACGTCTCATGGAATTTGAATGGAATGCAAAGTTTGACTTTAGGTTACAGCACACACATACAAAATCAAAGTAATATGTTGATTATGTTTTTCAATGGAATATGGCTTAGCGAGAACAATTTAGCCACATTTGATCATGTAATTGACAATAGACGTAAATGACCATCAAGATATTGATGAGATCGAGAAATCCACAAGACTTGTATTCCCCCTCAAATAGTTTTCAATTTTATCCCATCCTTAGTTAACTGTTCCCCTGACATTGTAACCATGGCATCTAGAACAGTGGACCCGATGACAGAAAAAAAAAACATTTGAGAGGCAAAGGCTTGTAACCTTCTCACTCTCAACAAGATCTCAGCAGTGACATTAGCATTTAAAGTCAATTACATTATGAAACCCGAATTACAATATTATATTTGAGTATGACATTTTAAACCATTGTGAACATTTTAGTCTACATATTTGATATAGCCTAATACAGCAGACCTTAGTCCTCACTAAGCAAGCGCACATTCAGGATGAACTGTTTACATTGCCTGGTCCCCCATAGTTAACATGTCACAGCACAATGACTGATGCTTTAACGAATGGAATGATATTCTCATCTTTTATGTCTTCTGTTACACATCCCTGTATTCTCTGGCATATATTCTATAAAGATTAGTTATAAATTTAACAACTTAGCAATAGCAATATTCAACAACACAAATGATACAGAATTATGGGTGATTCCTTGTGGTGTGATATTAAAAACAAGGAAAGAGTTTCTTTTGCATTCCCCCAACCCGAAACCTAACACAAACCCTACCCAGGGATCTCGCCAGCCCAACGGGAGTGTTTGTCGGTCATGAATATTAATGAGCTATATGAATTTTAATTAGCAATGAATATTAATGATCGCAGTGCAAATGTTTTTTGAATTAAGACATTAAGTTTCACAGTATAGAATTTTAAAATGAAATATATTCGAAATGCGAATGCTGCAGACTAAAAACAGAAACAATAAATTATTGTTGAAATATTAACGTCTATTGTAAAAAGTTAAATAAAACTCATTACGTTTCAGCCTAGTACCCCTACTCTTAAGCTCTCTCTTAAGAAATTTATAATTGAATTGGGGGTTGGGGGTTTGGGGTGAGAGGGAGGTCGAGTTAGGATTAGAGGAAGGATGGAAAGGAAGTCTTTCCAATAAGAATACACTAGTATTGACCACTCAAGCTCTTCTTACTTTGTGATCAAGTCTTCGTATTGCACTCATTACTGCTGAGTTGTTTTCTTGTAATTGACGATTCAAAACACTGACTGTTTCAAATACTGTTCGCAGGTCAGCTGATAGTCGTGCTATGGAAGCGTCACAACGAGCAACTCGTCCCCGCAAGTCAACAACGTTGCCAACGTGGTGAATTTCCAGCGTTTTCACATCCCTATTGGTGGTTGCTCCTGTGTTATCCCGATCTCTTACTTGATCTTCCAATATCTAGACAAAATTAAATGTTTGAAAAGAACAACAATGAAAAATAGTTTATAAGTTAATATGTTTCATAAAAATAATAATAAATCTAGGAAAGACTTTATACATCTAACTAGGGAGTTCAGTAAAACTGAATTGCACCTAACTAGGGAGTTTAGTGACACTAAATTATACTGAACTAAGGAGTTCAGTATAACTGAGTCGCACCAAGCTAAGGACTTTAACTACACTGAGTTGCACCTAAGTAGAAAGTTTAGCCATACTAGACTACACCTACCTAGGGGGTTCAGTCATCAATACTGTAGAATACTTTATTTTCGCTTGGAATTTATTTTCGCTATTTTCGCTGAAGGAATGATTCCGTGGAAATAAAATCCAGCGAATATACTTTTTTTCCTATATTTCCTATATTTATAAATTCCATACAAAACGCCCAAAAAGTTTTTTCAGCGAAAATTTATTCCAGCGAAAATAAAGTATTCCATAGTATATGAAGGTAAGACCTCTTATCATGTTGATCTTTGATCTGAAGTTATTTGTCAATGAAAATTCATGTTGTTGTTTTTTCAGACATTTATTATATTCTAAATAAATAACAACACAACCAAACATAATTAAAGCATGTTTTGGACGACACTGCTTATTATACATGTATGTATTCACATATACCGGGTACATCAATTAGACGACACAGATACGCGAGTCTAAAGAAAGGTGTATTGAAAAAAATGAGTTAAATTTTAAATTTAAATTTGCATGCATCTCCATTAGGTTAAAAACTCACTGGTTAATTAATTTTGCATATATTCAAAAGATTTAATTATCTCATTTAGCTATCAAAGAAATGAGCAAAAATAAATGAACAATTAAAACTTTTACAATTACATTCGAAACACAAAACATGTATATGTTTGTAGTCTATATTTTACACTTGATAGGAGGAGTCAGAAAAACACAATTACTTGATCTACTTATCTCAAAACATCCAACATCGTATACTGTAAAGACAGAAGTAAATTTGATTGACTTGAAAGTGAAGTTTCAGAAAAAAAAATTGTGGCTATGAAAGTTCACTGATCCAATTTAATGACTGTAGCCTTAACATTGTGAAGGTCTACCAAGTATCAATGTCAAATTAATTAAATTTGGTTTTCAGAATATTATCCATGTGCAGCAGATGTTGAAAATAATGAAATACTAGTATGGGACTAGGAAAAAATTACTGTAATCCTATTAGTTAGCCAATCAGATTGAATGATAAATTAGTTATTTTTCTCTAGCAATTCAACAACATGATAGGAAATCATCACAATTAAAAGCTATCAATCAATGATGTTTCCTCTTCTTGACAAAATATAAAGCAATAAGTTATACTGTAAAGTACTTTTGCTGAAATTAATTTTCGCTGAAAAGACTTTTGTGTGTTTTATATGGAATTTATTTTCACTGATTTCTGACGAGTTGAATGTAAAATATAGGAAAAAGAGTATATTTGCTGGATTTTATTTTCACTGAATCATTCCTTCAGTTAAAATATCAGAAATTAATTACAAGTGAAAATAAAGTATTTTTACAGTATTGTTATTGTTTCATCAGGAAATTAACGTTTTAGAATTTTTATTCTTAGCTTTAAAACATGGACAACACATCTTAAAGCAGAATGTAGAAATATGAAAATAAAATAAATACATAATTACAAAATTACACACATTTAAGAAAACCTCAAGTCCTGTCACTAAATGTGTCAATAAACATACCTATTTACTGTTTAGTGGAGAAAAAATACTATACTGTAGAATGACTAATTTCCACTGGGTTTGAATTTCGCTGATTTACCATCCAGGCATATTCAGTGGGTTTTAAATTCATGGTTTAATCATTTAGATAATGTGTTCTATGCTAAATTTTACATATTCACTAGGTTTTAATTTAGCGCATTTCCAGTCAGCGAAATAAGCAAAATTAATACCCAGTGAATAATTAACCCTTTTACAGTATGCCTTAATTTATTTATATTTGAGGTCTACTAAATAGAGTCAATAAATTTATCACATAAATGTTTCAAAAATATTACATAATTATTTGGAAACATATCAACTCTTGTTTTTACCTAGTACAAAATGACTAAATGCAAATACCGGTAGTTGTTTTTAAGTTATAATAATTCATAATTTTATGACAAGCGTAAGTACCAATTTTATACCTATGTTTCTTTCACCATATGTTACCAAAAAAAATTTGGAGATATGGGGAGACTTTTTTTACCATAAAAACCAATGATAAATATCTCAAAAATGCTGTTTGATGTTTTTTGGGCAATGTGAAGTTTGTTGGTCAGATATTTTTATATTGCTTTTGTGAACAACAATATAGAACAAATCAACACTATAAAAGTCAAGGAAATCTAATAATGTGTTTTAATGGTAGCCAACGACCTTAATAAATGTTCAAATAATCAAAAATTAATGACAAGCGCAATCAATCAGACTGTTTTCCTGAGGTTCGTACTGCATAGAATAATAATCCCAGCCACACATCTGTCAGTATGCATGAAAAAATTCAATCACAAAAATATCAAAAAAATAAGTGACTACCGGTATACCTCAATTTCTCTGCTCAGCCTCTTCACAACTAATGTGATTGTTCTAATATGTTCCTGTAGTAATTCCCGTGATTGTTTTTCACCCTGCCATGTTCCATGTGTCAAGTTCAAAGTGTCAATGATATCCTCCTTTATTTTAAACGCTCTGTCAATCAGCGATGATGTAGTTTTTTCTTGATGTAGCAACCTGTCTTCAATGACCTCTAAGCGACGACTGGGAGGTCTCTCGTAATCGTCAATGTATGGTAACCGTGGAGATACTCCAGCCATCATTGCTGTTTGGTAAACTTTCTGTTTAATGGCTGGAACGTTAAGAAAAGAAATGTTGTAGTGTTATTGTGTACTTGACACCATGGCAAATGACTTGAAGCATGACTTTAGATTCCATCTGAACAAGAATGACATTGTCATGTGTTGTATCATGGGAGATAAACCATTATAAACTCTGGGGAGTGGAGGGAAGGGGAGGGACAAACTTGGAAACACCATCTGCTGGAACACTAGACAGTAAAACAAATTATGTGCTACTGAGTTGAGGGGAAATGATGTTGCAGCAAGAAAGAAAAAATAATTGCCCCAAAAAGAAAAGAAAGTAGGAGAAAACATCTTGCACAGCTGCACTGTATATTACCCCAAGTTTAAAATGGTCAATCCCTGACCACTCCCCACTCCCACTCTTGCAAAAGTCAGATAGATATCATTGTAACGAGTTTTTTTATTAAATCACTGTGGAACTTGAAGGGGAATTTACTAGTAACGCCTCTTCCATTTCAGAGCCCTGGCCGTGTCCAATATACGAGAATTTATGCCTAGCGTTGTGTTGTGTGAGGACGTTTCAAACGAATGTCTTCGCTCCACACACGGTTACTAAACAAATATTTGTGCTTCCCCAGAATATACTATACACCACAGTCCCTCAACACTGAGAGACTGTGTATACACTCAGGTCAAATCGCGGATAATTTTATAAACACACAGTTACTGTATCGACAAAGATTTAGTATCATAACAAGAAAACCAAACAAAATTTTAACAAAAAAAAAAGTCCAATGACAGCCCGTCGGTCGGCTACAGGGACTGGTCGTTTCACAAATGCCGTGTCGTCATTATCAAAAACGTATCCATTGTAACAACAAACAATATACACGCGATAAATACGATCGATTAAATCACTGCCAAGGAAAAACAACTTATATACATTTTAGATTCAGTCGCAATAACTCTAAATACGAGACATAAATGTATCCGGATGCATATAACTGTCGTGGTTGTTACAAACATGCCTCGGGGTAAACAATACTTGGTGAAGTGGAAGTGCGAATGGTCGCAAACAAATTACTGTAATACATACACTTCGCTGAATTCAACATTACCCTACGTGTCATCAAGTACAATTGAAATTCAACACCAGGTGTAAAATAACACGGCAAAAGTGTCGTATGACGACGCAAATATTACGGCATCGACAACACGAAGTTGCATTAAATAAGAGAACACGTGTATTACCTTGAACTTCAGAGGAAAACTTTTAACGACGACGGAAATCACAGCGTCCTAGCAACTCACTCACTGACAACAGTCGCCATTTTGGACGTGTCACGTGATTCTGAAGCCTGTTCACGTGCCCCGTCCTTGAGGTTCTTCGCTGGCATTGATGGAACCACAGTCCTTCTATAGATAGATGGACTGTGATGGAACAAATACTGTTCCCGTTCTCCGATATAAGTGGAGAACAGAGAGTGTCTCTACTACAAAGACAAACAAATCAAGGACTTGAGCCATTTCATGCTAATAAAATTGCGACCTTTACAATAAACTATATAGTAGTATAACTCTTTACAGCCAAAACAAGGTCAACTTGGACGTTCAGTTGCGAGACGTAACAAAAAAAAAACGCAGCCAATGGTACATTTTGAAAATAAAAATACAAAATAAACGCAATCAGAGGCGCCGACCACGCGCGTTGGTAGTAAATAGAACGCGTTGTGACACAGCCTCTTTCACTAAAACGCAATATAATTATGCTATTTCCCAACGCACTTATATTTAATACATTGACGAAAAACACCACAAGAAAAATGTAAATCAGGCTTGTAATTACTAGTAACTCAACTCGAACGCAATGTTCATCTCTGTAAAAGTGGATAAATTCGAACCAGCCAGCTCATGACCGGAGACGTTCGCTCGTCTTCGTTGATAACTCGACAATTCACCATAATCGTGGTGGTGAACTGTTTAGCTGATTTTTTACAAGATGGACATTCAATTCGTATTTATCCCAACTTATTTGAATATTCTTTCGGAAATTTGAGACATTGTTCAAAAAATCATGTACATATATGTCTGATGTCAACTGATAATACGCAATTATCCAGCCAGTACTAGAAATTATTGTTGATAGTAAACATGTTTTGTATTGGGAAGTTGGATACTTGAACGTATAGTCCTCGGGCGTGTAGTAGACGAGCTTAATTGTACCTCAGACTAGTAGTAATACAAGTCTGAGATTGTACTGTCACATGTTTTTCGTCTTAGCCTTGTCTTTTCGTCTTAACACTGTCGCAGTCCGCTTCATTGATTGTTTAGTTTGATAATTTATAAACATATATTCATTGTGAGACTGTTGCTTTCAAGTTGTGTTAATACAAAGATGATTTAAACTTGTCCCTTCCGTTACCAACGTATTCAATATACAGAAATAGCATGTGTGTGCGTTTGCGTGAGTGAAAGATGCAGGTGAGATTTCTCGTCGCAACGTGTTCTATTTATTTCCAACGCGCGTGGTCGGCGCCTTTGATTGCGTTTATTTTGTTCTTTCATACTCGAAATCTATCGCTGGCACCGTTTATTTTGTCACGTCTCACAACTGAACGTCCAAGCTGACTTTGTTTTGGCTGTATTTGACAGGGAGTACTGGAGTAACATCAAGAAGTTTCTATTGATGAAAAATATTCCTTGAACTAAGATTTCAATATTAAATTATATTTAGTGGGTGTTGATATGGTTTTATACATGGCAATATTGATGTATCGTAACCAATTAGGAGTGGTCACGCCGCTATGATAATGCGGGCTTTCGCGACCAAGAACCAAACAACAAATTCTACCTGGGGAGGAGCAGAATGATTTTTTTATATTTTATTTTGTTGAATAAATTAAGTTTTGTTTGTTGGCTGAATACAACAACACCCACAGTTTGTAATTTGTTTTTTATAAAAAAGATCCTTTTTCATGTTCGGCATTGCAATTTGAATAAGTCTAGTGGCATATCAATTGTCGTTTCCATTCTCAACTTAAGTGTACATGTGCATTTCATACATTTTACAATACCGCCATGACACAAATACGTGGGTAAATAAGTTTTTATCCGCTTTATATTCGGCATAGAGGGCAGGTACATCACAATTAGTGAACGTTACTGTCAGAAATGTACAAAGTAACATCGTAAACGTGCCTATGATGAGCTGCTTGTACGTGCACGATGTCGCCGTGATGTCTACCATCGATAGTTTCCATTTAGTAGCTGATTGCAATAAACAATGCTGCTGAAGAATGTGGTGAAAAAGTCACATGAATACAGTACAAAGTCATTTATTGTTTGTTGTTTGTATGTTTGTTTGTTTGAGCGTGATGTACTCAGCTCTCTCAGTGATCGCTATAATAGATATCATCCTGTTGTACCTGCAGACTAGCTTTCAGCAATATTCGCAGGAGTGTTATATTAAACAACTTAGCCTTACTTGATATAAGTTACAATTATTCTATAATATAGTCGGAGGAAATATTTCGTGTCCATTGCTTGCTGATTTATTTATTTATTCATATAAAGCTGAATTTCTACAGCGATTGGTAAAAACAATGGGCACGAAAAAACTTTTAAAAAACCTTTAATTCACATCAAATTATAATATTGATTATGTACTCAATAATCTTAAATTCAGTTATTATATTACAGCTGAACTTGAGACCAAGGGGACTACATAATCTGCTTTCTATGCTTCCTGCTTAGATCTACCAGACTACATGACCATGATGAGTTTTCATTCTTCTTATACCGTTATTAAGAGACACCGACGTCTTTTTTTTTTCGAGCGAACTATTGAACCAAGGATTTTTTTTAGAGAGCGACCTTAGTGTTTTTATATTTTTAAATCGTTTTTTTTTTATAATTCGTTCAACTTGTGACATAACTAAAAATTGT